CTGCCTTCCTTATTACCCCACATGTCAAGACTGAGAAACTTAATACATACCATGATCACAACTTTTGAGATAGAATTGAATTGCTGTCATTGAAAACAGCAGGACATCTTGCAACCGTTTAAATAGCAATTCTTAGTATAATCTTTTCTGTCAAGAGAAATACAGCCATTCTTTGGTAGCAGTGGCTCAAAATATATTGTAATGCACTGACTCACTGCTCCAAATTGTCAAGTTTATCAGTAAATTGCTTTTTGTATTGAATAATTAGATTTAGAATGATAGACATCTGGAGGGGTTTCAAGTCCCATTATAGAATTCTGACAAAATTATGACATCAATTTTTTAAACAAAAGGGACAGTATAAGCATAAAGCAAGATGAATTATTTGAAAATCCCTAGGAAGTTTTTTACATTAAAATTGTTTTCTTTGATACTGTGAGCATACTGTTTTGAATCCCTGTTCTTTTGGTTCTCTGAGTTTAAAAACAAGAGTGTGTGTATGTATACACATACAAATATACACGCACATATTCAGATATATATGTCTGAATCACTTTTCTGTATACTTGAAACTAGCACAATATTGTAAATCAACTATGCTTAAATAAAAAAATGTTTATAAAAGTTTTTCATGTTCCCGCTAGCAAATTAAATAGCACAGAGACATTTTGATTACAAAGCAGCAGTTTTCTGTTGAGATACTTTCCCTGTCGCAGTTCCTGTTAACTGACTCTGCCTTGACCTTAAGTAATAGACTTATACCTACTTGTTGAATTGTTAAATAATACCTTTAGTCTTCTTGCTGTGAATTTTGAGGATGTTCACCAGCTTGTTCACCTGTTTTCTTTTCCCGCCTCCCAGTTAATGATATTCGTATTTTTTAAAAAGTACTGGAGGGATGGGATGGGGAGGGAGGTGGGAGGGAGGTTCAGGATGGGGACACATGTACACCTATGGCTGATTCATGTCAATGTACGGTGAAAACCACTACAATATTGGAAAGTAACTAGCCTCCAATTAAAATAAATAATTAAAAAAAGAGTATTGGCTGTCTTTCTAAATGAAGTAGTATATTTAAGCCACTGTTGCTCATTGCTTCACATTTCAGCAGTACTCGTTGGTTCTTTACTTTATAAAATGAAGGTATTAATACCTTTGTTCTTCCTTCCATCTACTCACCCCCCCCCAACCATCCACTTTTAGTTGGTTTCTGTTAGCTACACTTGATTTTACATCTTCATGGTTAGTAGTGTTTCCATTTTGTAGTGTGCAACTACAACCTGTTATCTGTGCTTTTTCTGTAATAAAAGGCCAATAAACTCTCTATAAGCTTACCTGTTTAGTGCCAGACCAGACAGGGTGTTAGGATTAGATTTCCTATAGGTCCAGTGTTAGGATCTCTCAGTGATCAATGCAGAGAAATAGAGGAAAACAATAGAATGGGAAAGACTAGAGATCTCTTTCAAGAAAATTAGAGATACCAAGGGAACATTTCATGCAAAGATGGGCTCAATAAAGGACAGAAATGGTATGGACCTAACAGAAGCAGAAGGTATTAAGAAGAGGTAGCAAGAATACACAGAAGAACTATACAAAAAAGATCTTCAGGACCCAGATAACCACGATGGTGTGATCACTCACCTAGAGCCAGACATCATGGAATGCTAAGTCGAGTGGGCCTTAGGAAGCATTACTACAAACAAAGCTAGTGAAGGTGATGAAATTCCAGTTAGCTATTTCAAATCTTAAAAGATGATGCTGTGAAAGTGCTGCACTCAATATGCCAGCAAATTTGGAAGACTGAGCAGTGGCCTCAGGACTGGAAAAGATCAGTTTTCATTCCAGTCCCAAAGGCAATGCCAAAGAATGTTCAAACTTTCTCACAATTAGACTCATCTCACATGCTAGCAAAGTAATGCTCAGAATTTTCCAAGCCAGGCTTCAACAGTACGTGGACCATGAACTTCCAGATGTTCAAGCTGGATTTGGAAAAGGCAGAGGAACCAGAGATCAAATTGCCAACATCTGTTGGATTATTGAAAAGCAAGAGAGTTCCAGAAAAACATCTATTTCTGCTTTATTGACTATGCCAAAGCCTTTGACTTTGTGGATCACAACAGACTATTGAAAATTCTGAAAGAGATGGGAATACCAGACCAGCTGACCTGCCTCCTGAGAAACCTGTATGCAGGTCAAGAAGCAACAGTTAGAACTGGACATGAAACAACAGACTGGTTCCAAATTGGGAAAGGAGTACGTCAAGGCTGTATATTGTCACCCTGCTTGTTTAACTTATATACAGAGTGCGTGGTGAGAAATGATGGGCTGGAGGAAGCACAAGCTGGAATCAAGATTGCCAGGAGAAATATCAGTGACCTCAGATACACAGATGACACCATCCTTATGGCAGAAAGCAAAGATGAACTAAAAAGCCTCTTGATGAAATTGAAAGAGGAGAGTGAAAAAGTTGGCATAAAGCTCAACATTCAGAAAACTAAGATCATGGCATCTGGTCCCATCACTTCATGGGAAATAGGTGGGGAAACAGTGGCAACAGAGACTTATTTTTTGGGCTCCAGAATCACTGCAGATGGTGACTACAGCCCTGAAATTAAAAGATGCTTGCTCCTTGGAAGAAAAGCTATGACCAACCTAGACAGCATATTGAAAAACAGAGACGTTACTTTGCTGACAAAGGTCTGTCTAGTCAAAGCTATGATTTTTCCAGTAGTCATGTATGGATGTGAGAGTTGGACCATAAAGAAAGCTGAGCACCGAAGAATTGATGCTTTTGAACTGTGGTGTTGGAGAAGACTCTTCAGAATCCCTTGGACTGCAAGGAGATCCAACCAGTCCATCCTAAAGGAAATCAATCCTGAATATTCATTGGAAGGACTGATGTGGAAGCTGAAACTCCAATATTTTGGCTACCTGATGTGAAGAACTGACTGGAAAAGACCCTGATGATGTGAAAGATTGAAGGCAGGAGGAGAAGGGGATGACAGAGGATGAGATGGTTGGATGGCATCACTGACTCGATGGACATGAGTTTGAGCAAGCTCTGGGAGTTGGTGATGGACAGGGAGGCCTGACGTGCTGCAGTCCATGGCGTCCAAAGAGTCGGATATGCCTGAGCAACTGAACTAGGATCTTAAAGCTACCCAGTGAATCATAGCATTTAGGCAAAATGCCGCCTTTTTATCCCTTAGTATCTGTTACTGGATTAAAAGTATTTTATGTATTAGTTTCGTTCCTGTTCCATCTGTGATTTTCTTACAAAGCTGTTTCTCTTGTGGGATTTGTGACTTTTTCTCCCTTGAGTAGTGTATCTTTATTATACCCTCTATGCTCTGTGCCCTCTGGAGCATCTCAACCTGTTTGATTCACACCATGTACTTGTCTTCCGAATAGAGTGGAATTTCTCCGCCAGTGGTGACCACCCCCCGTCTCTGTCCTTTATCCCTTTCTGCCCTCTGTGTGTGTGTGCCCCGCCGTCACCTGGGGCGCTGACGGGGCAGAAGCCGAGTGTGTGCTCTCAGTTCACTGCCTTTAACCCGGACGTGACACGTTGTGCTTCACAGTGCCTGTTTTATTTACACTTTTGTGTGAAATCCACAAAGGGTGTTCTCTATCAGATATTTGAGACTTCTCTTGTTTAGTTCTGTGCCATATGTACTTTAAATGCACATGAACACACTATAGAATCTAAGAAGTCTCAGTGGGACAGCTGAATTAATAGGTTTTTTATTTTTGGCTTTAGATTTGTTAGTCTTGGTCTATGTATGGATGTGAGAATTGGACAGTAAAGAAGGGTGGATGGTAAAGAAGGATGAGTGCCGAAGAGTTGATGTTTTTTGAACTGTGGTGCTGGTGAATACTCTGGAGAGTCCCTTGGACTGCAAGGAGGTCAAACCAGTCAATCATAAAGGAAATCAATCCTGAATATTCATTGGAAGGACTGATGCTGAAGGTCCAATACTTTGGCCACCTGATGCGAAGAGCCCACTCATTGGAAAAGACCCTGAAGCTGGGAAAGATTGAAGGTGGGAGGAGAAGGGGACGACAGAGGATGAGATGGTTGGATGGCATCACTGACTCGATGGACATGAGCCTGACCAAGCTCCGCGAGATAGAGAAGGACAGGGATGCCTGGCGTGCTTCTGTCCATGGGGTCGAAAAGAGTCAGACAGGACTTGACCAGTGAACAACAAACACCTATTTCATAACGTCTTCCCCACCTTGAGTCACACGACTTAGAGAAGTGATAGTTGTATCTGTATCAGACATTTCATTTGGGGAAGGATACTGAAGTGGGTTGCCATTTCTTTTACGGGATTTTCCTAGCCCAGAATGAAATCCACGCCTCCTGCATTGGCAGGTGGATTCTTTACCACTGAGCCACCAGGGAAGGCCATATAGGGGGTTAGGTGAAGTAAAAAATAAAAGATGAAAATAACACGAGGGTAAAAACAGGTTTTTAAAATAAAAATGCTTTTTTTCCCCTCTTTGCAGAAGGCATATGTATGCTTAGCGTTAGCAGTGGTTTGAGTTTCCCTGGTGGCTCAGCTGGTATAGAATCCGCCTGCAATGCAGGAGACCCTGGTTCCATTCCTTGGTTGGGAAGGTCCCCTGGAGGAGGGAGTGGCCACCCACTCCAGTACTCTTGCCTGGAGAATCGCATGGACGGAGGGGCCGGGGGGCTACAGTCTCGGGTTGCAGAGAGTTGGACACGCCTGAGTGACTAAGCGCAGCACAGCAGTGGCTTAAAGGTTTGATTTCAGTTGTGCTGTTGGTAAGAGATGGAGGCACAGATAGTGCACTCTGGAAACGGTGGCAGAAATTGCTACTTTGTTGGTACTGTGTATGATGGTTTATACAATGATAGTATTTCAAATTAAAAGTGCACAAATAGGAAAGATTAGTGTGAAAGTGTAAAATTTAATGGAATATTAAAAGAGTAAAGACATTTTAATGTAACTTTCTTTGTCTTTATTTTCAAGAATTCAGAAGGAACTTGCAGAAATTACGTTGGACCCACCCCCCAACTGTAGGTAAGTACGTAATGGATTTTTATTTGTATCTTTTGCAGAAGGTGTAATCCAACTATAGCTCTGATGTCTCAACTGTTGTTGTTGGAGCCTGATTAATTAGCGAAAACATGGTTCTGTTTTGGACTTAAGTGACTGTGAAGACAGTGATTGTGGTGGTCTCCATGCAGAAATGGAATCTTCACGAGTCTGTATGTAGTGGTCGATGGAGTTGCCAAAAAAAGAGTAATGCAATAACAGTAAGATAATGGAATTACAGGGTAACACATACAATGATCTTTTAGTGGAAGAGGTGTTGGAGTTTTAAATGAGTTCTTTCATGATAGAGTAATACTGTGGCTAAAATATTTGCTGTTTGATAATTTATTTAGCTGTTATCTTGCTGAAAATTGATTTTTAGAAGTGCTGGAACATTAAACAGTGTTTCTTCATGGTTTACATTATTTCTTACAGTCCTAGGTTGTGGTGATTGGAGGCGGTGAGGTTAAGTTTGAAACACTCTCTCCATTATGACCACATACCCTCAATTTTCTGGTCTGAGTTTACTGATGGGAAGTTAAAGTGCTTGCTTGGAGTCGATCAATGATATACGTAGAGTAGGAGGAGGGAAGTTAGCTTCTGCTGTATCTTGGGTCTGGTACAGTAGTCGGAAGACGGCTCTTTGACTACTTGAAGACGTGTGTGTTTTGCTGTTAGTTCAGTGTTGGAACCAAGCCAGTGCGGAGTTTTATAGTTTAAATTGGTAGCGCTGTGCGTCAGAGGTGAGAGGACGAGCTTCAGTATTGAGTACATTATTGGTATGATTTCTGATTTAACTGAACTTATTTTAATATGAAAGCAAAGATAACAGCTCTGAGTATTAATGGAAGTGAAAAACTTATAGGTGGCTAAATGGCTAATTGACCATATTTGTGTAGGAAAGATTCTAATAAGACTTAATGTTTGTAGTGAATTTATTATAGTTCTTTACACGAGAGTCACATATATAAACTTGTAGTAATAATGTTCAAAGAATATTTCATTCAACTAGAACAAATAATTCTTGATTAGGAAAAGCTGTTGAGTAGTCAGGTGTTTCTGTCACACTTAGGCTGTGTTACCTTAGAGCTGTTTCAGATGTCACAGCTTTGTTTAAGCTTGGGCGGCCAATTCGGGTAAATGGATTTAATTCAAAACTTCAGTTTGAATTAAACTTAAACTCTCTTGTTTCGTAGAATAGTATTTGTTTTAATGTTTGAATCTTTTTTTTTTTTAAATAAACTGTGTTTACCACATATATTATTCCTGTTACTTTTTTACAAACAACTGAAATGGTACAATATGTGAACTTAGTTTATTCACTTGCTTAAACTTTGAAAACAGATTATTGGCAAAATAAACTAATTGCTTTGTTTTAATGAGCTTGTTTAGAGCTCATTTTTGATGAATGTAATCCCTGTATAATATGTGATGATTAGAGTTTGCAGTTTTGCTATCAGATATATTATTTCCTGGTGTATTGCTCTAATTTAGTTTTGACTTATTACAGATAATAATTTAACTTAGATTAAACCAATATATTATAAATGTGCATGGAAACTGAAAATTCTGAGGAAGAAAATTACATAATGTTCATTCCTTAAATAAACTAAAATGGTTAAATCATAGTTCTGTTTAATGTAAAAAAGAAACATTTTAACTATGGAAATTTGGGGGTTTACTTTTTCATTGAGCCTTAGTTAAAGTGTACTGGTTGTGCAAGCAAAATATTTCTAATAGTTTTTCATTAAAAAAATGTATATGTCACATATAATTAGCTCCTCAGTTTCAAGAAAGAAACCTACTCAGCTGTATTTTTCTCCCCCATTTTATTGAGATACTGACATATTAACATTGTAGAAAGATACCTTGTTTGGTGGATTTGCTGGCTTATGGAAACTTCCAGTGTAATCCTTTTAACTATGTGAAGATTGGATAGCTCAGATTGCTTCAGAACAAGGCCTACGGGTGCAGCTTCTTTGATCCCTAGATAGCTGATGGACTGATCAGGCAGGGACGAAGGTCGTGCCCACCTTCATGTTCGCGGCTCCCCTGTTGCAGACGGTCTTCTGTGCTGCGCTGGTGGAAGTGGGGGTTCCTGCCGCCCCTGCGGGCCCTGCCCCACACATCGATGCTCACCACGAGCCCTGCCCCTCACTTCGACGGCCATGCGAGCCCTGCCCCTCACGTCGATGCTCACCGCGAGCCCTGCCCCTCACGTCGACGGCCATGTGGGCCCTGCCCCTCACGTCGATGCTCACCGCGAGCCCTGCCCCTCACGTCGACGGCCATGTGGGCCCTGCCCCTCACGTCGATGCTCACTGCGAGCCCTGCCCCGCACGTCGATGCTCACCACGAGCCCTGCCCCTCACGTCGACGGCCATGTGGGCCCTGCCCCTTACGTCGATGCTCACCGCGAGCCCTGCCCCTCACGTCGATGGCCATGCGAGTCCTGCCCCTCACGTCGATGGCCATGCGAGCCCTGCCCCTCACGTCGACGGCCATGTGGGCCCTGCCCCGCGCGTCGACGGCCATGCGCTCGCTGAGGGGTTTACCGTAGTCCTTGGATTTTCTGTGGGTGTGTCGGGTTAGAGATGGGACCTCGGAACTTTAGTGCATCTCTTTTGTGTTGTCTGCTAAGCGACTCTTGGGTTCATATTACAGGAACCAGCATGTGTTTGTCTTCTACTGTAGTATTGTTGAAGGTCTCCCCGCCCCCCCAGGTTTTCAACAGACTTAAATCTTTTAAGAGTATGCATAAAATATTTTGATGATCAGTTAAATTATTTATTTGTATAGGTAATATCTGCCTATACAGTTTCTGGGTATCTTTTCAGTTTTTGGGTCATTGTTGTCTTTGAGGTAAAAGTGCAGTAATCTTTTTTTTTTTTTAGGCTGGATTAAGTTAATTCTTTTATAACATTAGAATTAATATTTAAAACCAAAACCTTATGATTTATCTAAGAAAAGAGTTTCTGTTCACAGAACGGTAGGGTCTGTGGGATCGTAGGCGTAGGGAAGTGTGCATGATCCGCGTGGAGTTCGGGTATGCACGTAGAGCATTCTCCGTAGATAGCAGAGGTGCTTTGCTGAGTCTCCTCGTGCGGTGAGAGCGTAACTGGCCCGAGACGTTTGAAGGGCTCCCTCCGAGGCCTCTGCAGGGGCCCACGTGTTGGCCCCACTCTGAGCTGGAGGTGCTGGTAGTGGCCGCAGCTGCTCACTACCTCAGTGACCTGCGCCAGCTTAGCTTCTAGATGACTGTGCTGTGCCTTTGGGGATTCCGCACAGCTGTCACAAATGCAGACCCAAAATCTATAAATGTGCTGGTGTGTTCATTTCTCTTTCCTCAATGCTAGTGGGAAACTGGCAGCTAGCTGGAAAAATTTCTGAATTAAGATACAAGTTTCTGTCATCCTGAGGATAACCTGTCTCTCTGTATTGCACAGAAGCTAGATTCAAATTCTGTTATGGTCTGATGCTGCCCAAATTTATATTAGCTTTATAAGCATGGAAATGAGAGATCCTTGCTACTTTTTAAAAGTAGAGACTGTGGTAAAATGATTCGCTTGGATTTTGATTTTTGATTTACTATTTGAGCAAATGAAAGGAGAACATACTTGAGGATGTAGTTCAGTTATATTAGCAGTTTTTACTTTTATTGCTATGTTTCAATTATCTACTCGTTGAACACAGACTCTGCTTTATTTTTTAATTGTAACAGCTTTATTGAGATGTAATTTGAAGTGTAAATTTCAGCGACTTTTAGTGTATTCACTGCTTTATATCTGTCACAATCAATTTTGCATTCAGATCACCCCAAAAGATACACATCATACCTTTTAGCAATCACTCCTTTCCTGTTTCCTCCCAATTTCACCACCATCCAGCCCTGGGCAACCATTGGTCTACTTTTGTCTCTATAGATTTGCCTTCAGGACATTTTGTACAAATGGAATCATACAATATGTAGTCTTTTGTGACTGGCTTCTTTCATGAAGCATAATGTTTGCAAGATTCATCTATGTTGTAGCATTCATCAGTACTTTATTTTTGTCTCTGAATAATATTCCATTGTGTGGCTATAGTACATCCTATATATCTGTTCATCAGTTGATGGAAGTTTGGGTTGTTTTCACTTTGTGGTTATTGTGAATAATGCTGCCATGAATATTTGTATACAAGGTTTTGTGTGGACATTTGTTTTCATTTCTCTTGGGTATAGATAGACCCAGGAGTAGAATTGCTGGGTCAAACACTAACTGTGTTTAACCTTTTGGGGAACTGCCGGACTGTATTCCAGAGTGGCTGCCCCATTTTACCTTCCTAACAGCAGTGGATCAGAGTTCCAGTTTCTCCGCTGCCTTAGCAACTGTTATTGTCTGTCTTTTAGTGATGGCCCTCCTTGTCGTTGTGAAGTACTGTGTCACTGTGGTCTGGATATTTCTTACCCTATTGAATAGCAGTCTTGATAACTATCTTTTTATATGCTTATTGGACATTTTTGTATCTTGTTTAGAGAAATGTCTATTCAAATTCTTTGACAGTTTTTAAGTTGTTTTGTCTTTTTTGTTGTTGAGTTGTAAGTACTATTTATTTATTTTGACTACAAGTCCCATATCAGATATATGGTTTGCAAATATTTTCTTTCATTCTGTGGATAGTGTTTTCATTTTCTTGATAGTTCCTTTTAAAGCATAAAAGTTTTAAATTTTGATGAAGTCCAGTTTATTTTTTTGTTACTTTGCATACTTGCTGTTTTTTTCTGCAAAACCATTGCCTATTCCAAGATTAAGAAGATTTTTGCCTACATTTTTCTAATAAGACTTTTTTATTTTTAGCTTTTATATTTTGGTGTCTGATCCATTTAGTATACGGTGTGAGCTACAGGTCCAACTTCATGCTTTTCTTGTAGATACCCAGTTATCTCAGCACCACCGCTACAAAAACCCTTTTCCCCATTGAATTGTCTTCATATCCTGTTGAAA